AAAAAAGAAATTTCAGGCTACAACAGAAGCATTAGAAGCATGCACAGCTCTGGTGGAGGGCAAAATCAATAAGCAACTAAAGAAAGTTCTGAAGAAAATAGTAAAAGCAGCCCATGAACCTCTGGCTGTAGCTGATGCTGAACTAGGAGGGGTCAGAAGGGAAAAGCTGAATCTCAGCTGTATCCACAGTCCCGATGTTAATGAGCTTATGCAGGGAATCCAATCACGGACAGATGGACTGATCCCTGGGGTAGATCCACATGAAATGGCAGCTGTGTATCTTAGATTGGCCCAGCCTGTCTCATACTGATTTAAATTTGGTGTTGATAAAGCAACAATGATTGTTAGGCAATTTCCGTATTAGATGACTTCGATAAAGAATTAAACAACTACATTAAGCACTGCAGAGAGCAGTACACCTGGCATTTCCCAGAATTAAGAAAAATTATTTCAGATAATTTGACATATTGCAAGTGTTTATAGGAAGTTGGAGATAGGAAAAACTGCCTCCACCATACTTTCTGAATTGTCAGAGGAAGTTGAAGTTAAAGTAAAAGCAGCTGCAGAGATATCTTTGGGAACAGAGATTTCTGAAGAAGATATTTGCAATATTCTGTATCTTTGCACCCAAGTGATTGAAATCTCTGGCTGTAGAACCCAACTGTATGAGTACTTCCAAAATCGAATACGGCCAGTGCACCCAATGTTACAGTCATGGTCGGCGAGCTAGTTGGAGCACGGCTGATTATTCATGCAGGTTCTCTTCTGAATTTGGCTGAGCATGTAGCTTCTATAGCTCAGATTCCTGGAGCAGAAAAGGTACTTTTCAGAGCCCTCAAGCCTAGGTGGGACACATCTAAATATAGTCTCATTTATCATGCTTCCTTTGTAGGCCACAAAAGTCTCAAACACAAAGGAGAGATTTTTCAAACGCTAGGACCCAAGGCCATTTTGGCTAGTTGTTATGATGCTTCCAGAAAGGATTCCAGTTCTGAAATGGGAGTTGATGAGAACAGAGCCAAATTACAGGCCAAACTGAGGAGGTTGGAAGATAAAAGAATAAGAAAAGCAAATGGAACAGGAAAGGCACTAGCAAAATCAGAAAAACTGTGAAAACAAAAGTGAAGACTTGCTGGGAATATAGCTCAGCAGTGCAAGCACCTGCCTGGCAAGTGGAAGGTTCTGAGTTCGATTCCCAGTACCCCTACCCCAAAGGTGAAGACTTGTGATCTTTCTGGAGACTCTTCATTTACAAAAACTCAGAACAGAACAGGTAAAGAGGATGAAATCACTGGAAAGAAAAAAAAGCTAAGATTAAAGTCAAAGTTGAAGAGGAGGAAAAAGTACTAGTGGTAGAAGAGGAGACATTTGTGAGGAAGAAAAGGATAAAGGATAAAAAGAAACACCTTAAGAAAGAACCACTTTCTGAGGAAGAGCCATGCACCAGCACAGCAAGTCCTAGCCCAGAGAAAAAGGAATAAAAGAAGGACGCTGAGGGCTAACGGAAGGGAACCGCAGTTCTGTTGAACACTAGAGTGAGGTGGGGGTGCCCCAGAGCTGCTCTGGTGTGTGACCAAGGAAAGGCAGGTTGGATGGGATAGGGATTAATCATCCATAGCTTTCCAGACCTACTTGTGTCATTACATTAACTCTTAACCTTATTATGTCTCCTTTTCTTAGACTTGGATATACAAATAAAACTCCTTTCTTTGTAAAAGAATGTTACTTTAAAATTTTATTGTAGAAAATTTTAAAAATATAGATAAGTGGTTAATTCTTTAAAATCCTGTCAAGCAGGGATAACTATCACTTGTGTTTTGTGGATATTCTTCTAGTCTTTTATCCCCATACATACACACATTTTTAAATAGAAATAAAACCACAATATACATTCACCTGAGTTGTGAACATTTGTCATAGCGTAAAAATCTTCCTCAGCAACATAACTTTTAAATACTATATGCATTATGCAGCTGCTTCTTAGCTTACCCAGTCCCTTTAAGTGAATATTTATTTCCAATATTTTTAAGCAGTGTTTTTAGATTTGTCATTGAAGAATGTTAAATAATCACTTCTTTCATCCACAATTCCCTTTCTGGAGGGACTTTTATGGCAATTCAGGTGTTAGAAAAATGAAGGACTTTAAAGTCAGACCTCTAAATTGACTCCTACTCTGCCACGTACTATTTGTGTGACATCAAAAACAACCACTTTCTGAGTGGTTCAAAGAAGCACTAATATAAAAAACCTACATAGGATAATGACTTCTTCATCCTTTTGTTTCCCTGTTGATTTGTACAAGTATAATGGTGACCTCAAAGAACTACATAAAGGTATTTTGATATTCTTACTCCTTCGACAAAACAAAGACAGCTAACTTTTTTGACTGCTAATATTTTGTACAGGTCCATTTTAACATTTTTGTTTTTGTCTCTTTTTTTTCTCCTAGAGATAAGATTTCATTTTCCACAGCTGACTGGAGTGCTTACCCTTGCTTTCTTTATTCATAATTGTATTATCACACTCTTGAAAAACAATAAGAATCAAGAAAACAATGTGAGTAATTATCTGAGGAAATGACTTCTGTATCTCCTAAGGAAGACTTTCTAAGTCAGTGTTTGAGGCACTTCGATTTGGAGGAGAGTTATACACTTCATTACAGGATCTTAATTTTTTAGTTTGAACTGTAGAGTAGTGGTCAGCAAACTTTCTTTGTGAATGTTAGATGGTAAATACCTGGGCTTCCTGGACCATATGGGTTTGTTACAAGTACCTGACTCTACTGCCGTGACATGAAAGCAAGAAATAAACAAATGGATCTGTTAACCTCAGGCAAACATGCATGCTTGTTATCCCAGCACTCTAGTAGGGTGAGGCAGGAGGATCACAAGTTCAAGCCTAGCCAGAGCAATTTAGCAACTTAGGGCTGTGTTTCAATACAACTTTATTTAATTTAAGAAAACAGAAAATAGGTCAGATTTGGCTTGTGGACCATAATTTCGCAGCCCCTGATACATAGCAACTAGTAAAACAAAAGGAAATATAGCTAATAAGCCAATAATGGTAGTAAAAATCGTAAAAATAAAAAATACCCAATTGATCTAAAAGAAAGTAAGGAAAAAGGAAGCAAAGAATACATGGGACAACAAAAACAAATAGCAAGATAACAGAGTTAAAGACAGTCATATTGATAATTCCATTTAATATAAATGGTCCATACATTGCAATTAAAAGATAGATTTTAATACCAAATTTTAGGGTTGCAGGTAAAGCTTTACCTAGGGGGAAATATATAGCTCTGAACACCTACATTAAAAATAAAAGATCTCAAATCAAAACCTAACCTTCTACCTTAAGATACTGGGCAAAGAGCAAACTAAACCCAAACCAAGCTGAAGTTAATCAGTTATTTGTTGCCACGTCTGCAGATTGTAAGCTCAGTTTGATAGCTTCTAACCATGTAAGCAAAAATCATGATGAAACTTTACTAGAGGTCTGTACAGTTATTAGTGAAATACAAAGGAAGGTGTTACTCATTATACTTAAGAATTTTGAGGCTTTGAGTAAGAGATAATGTCTGGGAGTCTCACTATGAAAGCAAAAACCATTCTAAGTAGAGGGAAGTGAGCTCTCAATTTAGGCAAGAATATAAGTTACCCTCTTTTATTTTCATCTTTACTGGACATACATATGGCATGTTACGTGTAAGTGGAGTTGGAATTGAGTAAATCTGGATTTTCCGTATTTCTTACCTCACATTTTGTCTTCCTCAAATGTAAAAATAACATTAATGATACCTGTTGGGGTTGTTATGAAAATTAAAGAGTATGAAATAGACATGCTTAACATTACCTAATATACAGTAAGAGCTAGACATTCTTAGTTTCTTTACCCCTTGCCCTTTGGCTCCTGACATTTATGGCCTGTTATCATGTCAACTTATAACAAATATCCAGAAATTTCATTTTGTGAAGTAGGATTCTTGTGTATTGGATCATTCTGTCCATAAGGATGTGAAGCAGATTTAACTATCCAAGTCTCCCTAGTAACAGAGAACAAGCATGTATACGTAGAAGCCTGGGGAAGGAGAACCAATTTTACTGAGTTTTATTAGTTTTATAGTACTGGGGATTGAACCCAGGACCTTCAGGCTGAGCTGCCTCTGTAGCTCTTTTTGTATTAATCTTGAGACAGGGTCTCATCAAGTTGCCCAGGCTGGGCTTGAATTTGTGATCATCTTGTCTCAGCTTCCCAGAATGCTGGGATTACAGGCTTGTACCATCTCATGTTTCAATCTTAACCACTCATACATATTTTTTCATGCTTGTATATAGTTTATCTTATAAGAAAACTGTCTCAAAATAATTAAATTGGAGGTAGTTCTTGTGTTGCATGTTTCCTACATGCTCAAATTTCAGTTATTCAGGTTTAAATTACATCAGTATCCTAACAACATGGTACTAATTTCAGTTACTTACAGGGTTTAAGCTATGACTACTTGCATAAAGTAATAGCTACTAGCTTTTCATTTCACAAATCATCATGTGCATAACAGATGCACATTGTGATTGGTGACAAATCACATCACTTCTTTCAAAGTCTATCAGTGATTGGCTACTGTGCTTGCTGTTCACTTTACATACAGCCTGCCAAACAGGTAGTTGTGCTGCCTCTTTGTCTGCCAGTGATAAGCCCACATGCTCTTTTACAAAAATTGATAACTGCAAGAAAGAATTGGCAAAGGTGAAAATGCAACAATGAAATGAAAAGCAATAAAGTTGAAAATGAAATTTAAATAGAACTTAAAGGAAATTGTAAAAGAAATAGCTGATTGTGGAAATGTTGACAGTACTGCAAGACTCTAGAGATGCAGCCAGAGGAACTCAGGGAGAGTGAACCTATCAATATGAACTTTGAAAGGGTTGTGACAAGAAGAAGGAAGATGCCCCAGAGGAGGACATCTTTGAAAGGGTTGTGACACTGTCAGAGAACTTCCCACTAAAAGAATTCTCAGCGATATTTCACAACATTGAAAGTACAAAGGATGAAATGTTAGAAGTGAAGCAAAGTTAGAATAAAGTATGGCAGTTCAGCTTTGTCACTTGAAAAAGTTTTAAAACAAAGGCTCAAAAACAAATGTTTAAATGTTGATATTTTCTGTCTTAACACTAGAATATGAAGTGATGGTCTAGCCTTCAAAAAACCAGTGGTGCTTCATATTAAGTTCTTAAAGTATTAATTACTAGTGAGAAAATTAATGTTTACGAAGTACTATGTGTCAGCAACATTCTAAATACTTTATATAAATAGATATATTTTTTTCCTTTTGATTATGCTGACATTGGCTTATATTACCATAAATCAAGCTAAGTGGATATTATATTCTGAGAAAATCTTTGCCATTTAAATTATCTAATGACTGTACCTTTCAGTAAGTTTTATCTCTTTGATTTATAGAAGTCTTATTACTATCACAAGTTAGTATTTTTGGGGGGTTAAAGTCAGAAAATGTGAGACTTACCAAGGACTCTGAATTAACAGTGTTGATGTTGAGTTCATCATTCCAAACTCAGGAAACAAGGTTATAAAAGTAGAAAAGAAAATGAAGGAAGAGAAAAGCCTCCTTCTCTTCTGTATAATTCTTTTGGACTTGGATCTAAAGACACCTGTGAGGAAAGAAATAAGACTCCTAAGCAGGTGTACTAATTTGATTTTCCAAGTTTAATATTTGTGCACTTTTGCAATAAACATAACTTTTTATTTGTATAACTGGGAGGGGAGGGCTGAAGATCATCCACCTCCTTCATTATCAGCTGAATAGATAATCCCTGTAACAACTTCATGGAAATATGAATTAACTTCTTGATATTTCTTCACTGTGTTTGGTTTTGGTTTTTTTGGTTTTTTTTCCTGGTACTGGGAATCGAACTCATGACCTTGCACTTGCCAGGCAGGCGTGGTGCTGCTGAGCTAAATTCCCAGCCCATCTTCACTGTGTTTGAATCAGAACCTATACAGTGCTTCTTTAGTTTTGTTTTTGTTTTGTCCGGTTTTATTTAGTTTATTGTTCTGCTGTGTTCTTTTTCTCTTTCTTTTTTCTTTTTTGAGATAAAGTCTCACTCTGTAGTTCAGGTTGGCCTTACACTCATAATGTAGCCCAGGCTGGCCTTGAACTTGTGACAGTCCTGCCTCAGCCTCCTGAGTGCTGGGAATACAGGCATCTAGCTACCCTGCTTTGTTCTTTAAAATGATTTGAGTTGCCTTATATCTTAATTTGTTACTTACTTTGTTCTTCGTATAAATCTATAGTTTACTTGGCTGTACAGTAGAGGTTTTTTTAAACGATTGGGGTAATTCTGCATGGTCAGTTTCTATCATTTTTCTTAGTGAATGCTTTACTGGGTGGTATTTTCATTATGAATGGTACACCAAAGAGGTTCTAAACTGTGACAGAGTATGCTCCCAGACTGACTTCTGGCCCTTTTTAAATCCATTCCTCATCCTAAATGGTAGTCTATTTGTCTCACTTCCCTACCATCAATCCTGTCAGCCATTGTTTATTCATGAACCAGAGTATGTTACCTTATTGATACAGATTTCTTGACATACTACCAGTTTTTACTGTCACTTGTGTCTCTTATTAAGTATATATGTATATAAGTGTACTGCACACTGATACACTCTTCATCACTGTAGCTGAGGGCGTGCAATTTGGAACCAGAAAGACCTTGACTGAAATATTGGCTTCACCAGCTACTCATATTGTTACCATCAACAGGTTTTGTAACTTTGCTCTCCGTAGTTTACTTATCCAGGAAGTGAAGAAATTGACTGTATCTGCATTATAAGAGGATTAAATAAAATATATAATATGCTTAGCACAAAACCCAGCACCTAGAAGCAATTAATAAGTTAAATCAACGTGTTTATTATATTTATCAGACTTACGAAACTCCTTTTATGTGCCAGGTGTTATCCTGGGTATTGGGGATATAAAAATGAAAAAACGGAAGTCTCTGTCCTCAGGATTTCATAGTATAATGGCTTGGATCAAGTTAAAATACCAATAGCTGAGCATAGTGGTGCACACCTGCAATCCCAGCACTCAGAAGTCGGAGGCAGGAGAATCACTGAATTCAAGGCCAGCCTGAATTATATAGTGAGATCCTGTCTCCAAAAAGAATGATATAAGAACTGTTAAACTTGGCTATTTTTTGAGGGTCAGAGCACATGTTCTGTCCATTTGAGAACCTGTACTGTTAGCATGGATTACTTTTATAGTAAAAATTAATGATACAATACAGTGTAGTAGTTGCCACATTTAAGATGTATACAGTACTATGGGAACAGGGAAGCAGAAGGGGAATCTGTTTTATTGGAAACCCTTGTACCTTAGCCTTTCTATCTTTTGTCTTCATTAGTTCCCCCCAAAGAGCCAGGTGTGGCTCTTGTTAAAAAAAAAAAAAAAAAACACCTGTAATCCTAGGCACTTGCCTGTAATCCCAGCTCTCAGGAGGCTGTGGCAGGAGAATCAATGTAAATTCAAGACTGCCTGGGCTACCAAGTGAATTCCAGCCCAGCCTGAACTACATAGCAAACCCTGTCTCAAAAAAACAAAAAATTTAAAACTTAGAAGTTTTCCCCCAAAGTATACTATAAAAAAACAAAACTTTTTTGCAGGAAGTCAGACCAAAATAAGGTGGTGATCAGGGAGTATATAAATTTTTTGTTGTTTTTGTCTTTTTGAGACAGGGTCTCACTATGCAGTTCAGGCTGGCCTTGAGCTCACTTTGTAGCCCAGGCTGGTCTCGAACTCACAACAGTCCTCCTTCCTCAGCCTTCCAAGTGCTGGGATTACAGGAATGCACCACCACGCCCTGCTCAGATAGTATGTAAATTACAGACTGTCCCTGGAAAGATGGGTGTCCCTCCTCTTATACAGTGTATAGCTGTTTGGCACAACTGTTTCGCCTACCAAGACTTTTTTTTTTTAACAAGGCCACCTCCGTTCTTAAGTGCCTTGAGTAGGTTGAGCATAGAATGACTTTCAGATATCATAATGGAAGATGACCACCCCTTGACAGGAAACTAGGTGTGATCTGGCTCATTTCTGTTCTCCCACATAAAAATTTAAGGCCACCCTATGGATAACTGAAGTCTAGCCTACCATAGGCCGTAGAGCTTTATGAATTAAAGAGGAAAAATATTAAAACCTCTGCCTGGAGGTTTGACCATCCGTCCTTTCTTCGCTGTACCCTGAACAGTAAGCTTTTCCAGAGGTTTGAAGCCAGTCTAGATAAGCCTTCAGCTCCGTAGGGCTATCCATCCAATTTAGGGTATTCAACCCTTGTTTGTTCTCAAGCTGATGTCAGTTTAGTCTTCACAAAGACTTTTCATATCTGGTTACTTGTTTTTTAACTGGTTGGTTGGTTGGTTGGTCAGTCAGTTGGTTGTTTGGTTGGTTGGTTTCTTCAGACAGGGTCTCATTATGTAGTTCAGACTGGGCTTGAACTCACTGTGTATCTCAGGCTGGCCTTAAATTGGCAGTGCTCCTCCTGCCTCAGCCTCCTGAATGCTTTTGAACTGAATTTATAGCAGTTCAAGTTTATAAAACTTGACTATTGCTGTAGCCCATTTAGGGAGAAAAATTACCCAGAGAATTAGAAATATTTCCCAATTCCAAATGTCCAAACATTCTCACTCTGCTATCAAACTTTTTAAAAAGTTGTATATAATTTTTTAATCTATTTCCTTAGCTTTCAAAGTAATCTGTGTTTAAAGTGAAAACTGAATAGGCTTATTGCCACGTACAATTTAGTTGTGCTAAATTGTTTGGCTGTAACTTCAGTGCTGATGGAGACAGTCTGCAGGCTGTGGAATCTGTTCTGTTTGGATCTGACAGCTGGCTGCGCTCAGTATCTTGGAGGGTGGGAACAGCAGTGGGAAGAAGCAGTCCACTTTATTTAATGTTCTGTGTTTGTTTACTAGTTCCAGTAATAACATTGTACAGCTATTTGAACAGCTGCCTTTTGATTTCCTTCTGTTTACTGTTTAGGTTCATTAAGCTTGTCCTTAACACTTACTAGTTGAATGCTCTTTAATTAGCTCTCCTTTATTAAATACGTTTTTAGGTGTTCTACTCCCGTATGGACTAGGCATAAATTTGATGATTTAATTGACTAAAGAAAGAAATTTTAAAAATTCGCAGTCCTACTGAAGGTGGCTCGTACTTACTTTCTTGTTGTCCCTTATCCTTGTACTATAGTTAAATATTTTATAATTTGATAAATTACCTTTTGGAAGTAAGTCAGCATTTCAGTCGTGTTAAACCACAGTTTATGTTAGCGATCTAAGTCTGCCAACAGGTAGCCTAGTCGACATATTCCAGACTAGTTTTACCAAAAAAATTGGCATGATAATAATAAAGTATGTGGATTTTGTTTTAGTTACTTGCTGTGAATAGATTGGCTAGAAAGGATCCACACACATGGACAGGGTTAAAAAGATAAATTTTGTAATATTCAATTTTGTTTAGTGCTAAATTGATGCAAATTTCTTCATATTGTAGGAACTTTATTTTGTATTTATTTATAGGTAAGAGACCTGTGCATTGCTTATATGCTGGTGACATTAACTTACCTGTATATTGGAGTCTTGGTTTTTGCTTCATTTCCTTCACCTCCATTATCCAAAGATTGTATTGAGCAGGTAAGGTGCTGTGTCCCCTGGCTGTGTGATTGTTTATAACTTCATGTATGAATAGTAGGCAGGATAATAGGCAGATATAATAGCAAACAGGCCTGGGTTTGAATAAATCTTTACCATCTATTTGAAGTACAGGAATTTTGGCATCTTCCCCATCCTTTCTGAGTTTGTTTCTTTTTCTTTTAAATTTTATAATATATGCACCACTTGAAATTTAGATGTGCTGTGAATACTAGGCACCTTGTGTGCTCAAATAAATGACCACTATTATGTATGTATATTTCTCTTTGGGTAGAGAACAATTACCAGAAAGTCTTGTGAATTTATAAAACATCCGCATCGGATCCAGTAAACTCTTATTTTCCAAAGCCCAGATCTAAAAATGCCCTAGGTAAACTATTGTTCGACCATCCCTAATGATAGATCTGACTCACACTTAGATACTGAGTACCAGGAAGCAAAACAAAAGCCAAGTATTTGGCTGATAAAAAGAGGGAGACAGCCAAGCATGGTGGCACAATCCTGTAATCTCAGCACTTGGGAAACTGAGGCAGATAGATATCAAGTTCGAGATCAGCTGGGGCAACACAGCAAATCCCAGGCCAACCTGTATACAAAGGGAGAGCTTGTCTCAAAACAAAACAAGAAACAGACAGATCAAAAAGAACAGGAGAGGGGAGAATGAATATAAAAGAAAAATCTTGCTAGGTATGTCAGGCTGGTTTTAAACTCTCTGTGTAGCCCAGGCTGACCTCAGATTCTTCTCCTCCTGCCTCAGCCTACAAAATACTGGGCTTATAGGTATATGCCGCTATGCCTGGCTTTAAAATTCGGAGCAATAAACTTTTTCACCAAACTAAAGCAAAAAAAAAAAAGGATTATGAAACAGTGTAGAAATAAATCCTTTGTAGTGATAGGCTGTACAATAAAATGCTAAGTGATACAATCTTATCTTATTCTGTAATACTTACTTAGAAAGTGCTATGGTGCTTCAGAGGAAAAAAAATCAAGAGAACTAATAAGGATAAAATAGCATTGAATTTAATTTGCTATTTAAGAATATTAAAAACAAATTTGGGCATCGTGCTTTGAACCTTATAGAACCTCATGCTTCTTGGTCTATCTGTGATTTAAAAAAAAGTTTTCTTTGTTGTTTTAATGTCAAATCAATTGCAGCCTAGTACTTTTGTAAAATAAATAATATAGCAATGTTAAATTTCCTTAAATGTTTGTAAACAGTTATTTTCCATTACTGTAGTTCATTGAAAAATAGTTAACAAGCAGTTTGAGTAGGGGCACCAGTTCACATACCACACACTGAGTATCACCTGTGTTCAGACTAAATAGAAGATACTCCATTTTATGAATCTTACATTAAATTTGAATTTTGACATTACTTCATTATCTTTCCTGATTTAGAACTTTTTAGACAACTTCCCTAGTGGTGACATCCTGTCCTTCATTGCAAGGATATTCCTGCTGTTCCAGATGATGACTGTCTACCCGCTCTTAGGCTACTTGGCTCGCGTCCAGCTGTTGGGCCATGTCTTCGGTGACGTTTACCCCAGGTAAGAGTTCTTCTCTTGACCAGCAAGATATACCAAGCAACAGATGACTGTGCAAACAGGTCAGTTTAAAGTATGACTGATCCTTTTGCTATGAAAATTTGCCTAATGAAAATAGTTACTAAGGATAGATCACTAGTGTTCCTTTCCCAGAAGAGCTTTAAATATAGAAGCCACTGCCTTCCCCAGAATGATTTAAAGTTTATTCCTTTAGCTCTGATACCAGTTATATTTATATTATTATTTGTTTGCTATTAATCTGTACATTACTAAGAATTTGATAATATATACTGCCTGTGTTGGCGTGTGAGCTACTAAAAAGCAACACTTTTAACTACTGGTCATTAATACCTGTATTTATTAATATTTGTGCATTTTTACTTAATTAGAGGTAAAAGTGAGATATATATTGGGTTTAAATTCTTATTTGGTGTAAAACAAATTTAAATTACTATGGTAATTACCCTGGGCATTGAGGAACCGTGAGTCCCTTTAGAACTCTGTTCAAAGCTAGTTTCTCTCATCCAAGAGAAATTTCTATGTATTTCTCAGGCTTTCCGTGAAGCTTTCTTGAGAATGCCTGGTGGACACCTACTTTTAAATTAAGTTTTATTGTATGTTCATCCTAGTGAAAAATAGCTAGTCCTGTTTCAGCAGAAATTACTTAAACGGAAGAAAACTTTTGAATTTGGGAGGTCTTGATCACTCCTTGTTTAAAGGGAACTGATGGAGACCCCACAGCAAATTTATCTATAAGTATGTCGACCTAAAACCAAAGCAAAAATTAAGAGTTGCCAGGTCTCCTGCATTGATAACAGCAGCAATTGATAAAGTTAGTCTAGCGTTGGTACAGTTCTAACTTAGAAGATTGGAGTTCAGTGAATGTAAAACTCCTGTTGGGTTTGTGCTCTGTGCTATATTTGTATTCACCAGAATAAATTCAGTGAGGTCATATATGAAAAAATTCAAGGCAAATGCACTGCTCCTGTTTTCTATCTTTATTTTACAGGATGATGGCTGTTAGAATTTTTTTTCTTTTTGGAGAATAGGTTTTCCCTTTTGTGTTTACATTGTATTTCTTCACACTATCATTTATCCTATAGTTACAAATACTCTACTTGGCATACTTGGAACATAAGCCTTAGTCCCCTCTTGCTTCTTCTTTTTTTTTCTTTTTTTTTTTGGTACTGGGAATTGAACTCAGGACCTTGCACTTGCCAGGCAGGTGCTTGTGCCACTGAGCTATATCCTCAGCTCTTCTTAAATTTATTGACAACCTCCCAAGATCTTTAGTTTTTGTGGGCATAAATATTTAACATATGATAAATTAAAACTGAAATTTTTAAAGCATTAATTTTTTAAAAAATCAATAATAAAGCCAGGCACAGTGGCATGTACCTATAGTCCCCGGCACTTGGGAATAGGAGAATATTGAATTCAAGGCACCCTGGACAACATAGCCAAGACAAGAAGACCCTGTCCTTTTTAAAAAATTACTTTTTTATATGAATAACATTTCTTGAAAAATAACTACTGCCAAAAAATTGTTTTTCACTGGGTGTAGTGGTGCATGCCTGTAATCCCAGCACTTGGGAGGCTAAGACAGGAGGATAGCCATGAATTCATGGCCAGCCTGGGCTACATAAGCAAGTTCAAGGGCAGCCTGCACTACATAGTTGAGACCTTGTCTCAGAAAAAAGCCAGAACAAATTATTTTTCACCAAAAACTCTAATGTCTGCTTTCTTGTAGAAAATTAGGTGCTCCTCTCTTGTTTTTGCATAAACTGTTGTTCTATGTTGTTGTCATTTAAATAGGTTTTAAAAAATCAGAAAAAAGAGGGGTATTTTTAATAGCCCTTCCAGATAATTGCAGATATTCTTTTTTGATACTGTGCCAAAACTTGACAACTAGTAGTTTCTTACTGATCAGAGAATATAATGAGAAATTTGGTTTCGAACCTATTGGTCTGTCTTGCACTTTGGTTCTTTTACCCTTATGCATTATTTTGTAACATCATGTTTGGTCAGTATTGGTTCACTGATTTCTGTAGATCTCCTAAATGTTAACACACTTCATTACTCACCATCAGAGCCTACATTCATTAATATCACACCACCAATCTCATCATAAAAGCTTTTGAGCATGGGAAAACTATCAAGCTCTGGGTGGCAAATACAAGTTCTCCAAAATTCTAGTTTTTATTTGAAAGCTCAAATGTTATTATTGGCAACAAATTCTGCCAGTGATTTTCCTTGAAGTGAAAAGCTCATAATCACTCATTTTAAAGAAAATGGCAGCCGGATGTGAAGGCACATACCGATAATCCCAGTACCCAGGAGGCTGAGGCAGGAGGACCCCACAAGTTCAAAGCCAGCCTGGGCTCCATAGTGAGTTAAGGCCAGTCTGAACTGCATAGTGAGACCCTAACTCAAAAAACCAAAAAGAAAAAAGAAAATGTCTACCAAGCACCCAAGTTTTGATAGTCATTGCTTGTCTGCATTTCAAGTAAAAATACAAGATTTACATATTATAGCTGGATCAGCTTCTAGCTGTGCTGTGCAAGTGCTTTGCCTCAAGACAGCCAGTGTACTTCACTGTGCAGCACACCCTTTGCTAGGTGTCTCCTTCTGATCACACAGAATATTAGGAAGGTGTACATTCAAAGCATAAAATTTAGTAAAACTGGGTTTTACTTCTTTATCAGGGACTTTTTGTGTATGTGTCTGTGATGCTGCAGATCCCACCTCGGGCCTCATGTGCTGAGTACCCTGTCCCACTGAGCCGACCCCAGCTCTCAGGGACATTTTTTAATTAAGAAAAGCTTTTTGAGAGTGTTTTGCAGTAAAGAATTTGTTGTATAGTACAGATGCAGTTGCCTGTATCCATAAGAAGGGATCAGCAGTTTTACCACCATTGCTTTTGCCATGCAAATTATGTCTTATGTTATTGTTAAAACAATTTTCATCTCAAGGACTTCTTGAAGAGGATATTGGGAAACCCTTGGGCTTCATGCATATTTTGAGAACTACTACTTTGGAAAGTACACAAAGTTTTTTCCTTTTATAATACAGAAGTAGCAAAGGCCCAGCCAGTGTCTCAAAGTTCTGAAGTAATTTTAAAGTTGGAGTCACTGGATAAATAGTAAGATCTTGAAGCCAAATATCTCTGTAATTTATGAGGATGTATATAACTAATTGCTTATTCATGTAAATAATTTTCTTTATTTTTAATCCTTTCATCTTTATCTGGTTTTAAGTAACCTTTGATAATTTGGGCCAAAAGGTTGCTTTGACATACACATTTGGCTTTTGAAAATCATTCTGGGGAGAAATGGAATTATTTCTTGAGTATCAGTATCTATTTACATTTATCTTTTTTTTTTTTTTTTTTTTTGCAGTACTGGGGATCAAACTCACAACCTTGCACTTGCCAGGCAGGCGCTTATGCCACTGAGCTATATCCCCAACCCTATTTACATTTATCTTTATTTCTATCCAAAACTCATTCCCAAACCTTAAATTGTTAAAATGTACTTAAAATATTTAGCAGAAATCTATTCATGGTAAATAGTGAATAGCTTTGAGTCAGTCTGAAAAATATGTGGTCAATCTTGCCCGGTGGCTGCCCTCACCCTGTAGAGTATACTAGGAATCAAACTCAGGACCTTGCACTTGCCAGGCAGGTGCTTGTGCCACTGACCAATATCCCCAACCCAAACAGATTATAAGGCCAGGTGTGGTGGCGCATATCTGTAATCCCAGCACTCGGTCTTTTTTTTTTTTTTTTTGGTACTGGGAATCAAACTCAGGACCTTGTGCTTGCTAGGCAGGCCTATATCCCTAGCCCGGTCTGAAAAATAAAACCTGTCCAGTTTTCCTTTCCCTTAGTATAAAATTATTTTTATTATAAATATAAAATAAATACTTTACAAAAATTGTTAAATATAGAAAAGAGGCAATATTACCTGAAATCCCAAATCATAATAATCCAGTCACTACTGTGAAAGTGTATTTCCTTCTGAGATTTTTTTTTCAAATGTTTTTGGATTTTCACATGTGCTTAATATCTAGTTGGCTTTTTTCCAGATTGCTTAGATGAATTTCCTTTATCCTTTAAGTAATAATGATAGGTTTAATAATTATTACTGGATTCTTTCAGGTAAATTGTTGCCTTGCTGTCCCTAGAATTCTGTTTTTCCATAAATACCACGCATTTTTTTCCATTGTTTAGATTATGTTCTGAGGATAATCCAGGTAGATCAAAGAATGAGAATTCTGGTATACAGGACCATTTTGTGTCCGTAGTATTTGCCTCCATATATGATTGCATTAAAGGGCCAGCCTCACTGTCTCATGATGAGCGTCGAGTACCATGATTGCCTCCTATTTTTGCTGTGATTTTACTGACCAGCATAGGCGCTCATTTTAAAGCTATTAAGAATGAATTTTAATCTAATGTTAATAATTGAATTTTACTATTTTATATTTTTTTCTGTCCTTTAAACTGTCTTTTCATCTTCTAGCATTTTTCACGTGCTCATTTTTAATATAATTATTGTGGGAGCCGGTGTGATCATGGCCTGTTTCTACCCAAACATAGGAGGGATCATAAGGTACTGCCAGTAAGAAACTGTGCCCCTTTGTATATTGGTCTTTATTTTTGTGTTGCTGTTGTCGTTGTTATTGTTTTAATTATATGAAATTCCTGTCTTTTAAACTGGTGGTGTTCAAATGTATTTCCCTGGTATCAGTTGAGATGCTCATTAAATTCCATTTCTGTTTATTCTGGTGGCAGACTAACTAGAAAACCCCATTGTCCCTTAGCCTCTGTCACTTTCTCTCCCTCTCTCCCTCTCTCCTTCTCTCCCTTTCTTTCTTTCTCTCTCTTTCCCTCCTTCCTTTTCTCTTTCCCTCCTTCTCCCTCTCCCTCTTGCTGTTTCCCTCCTTCTCTGTCTCTTTCCCTCTCTCCTTCTCTCCCTCCTTCCTTCATTCCCTCTCTCCCTTTGCCTCCCTCCCTTCCTCCCTCTCTCTCTCCCTCTCCCTCTCTCTATATATATATATCTGTATACATACAGATATATAGATATAGATAGGTATATAGAGATATTCCATTGTGTTTCCTTTTTCTGTATCCAAAATAAAATATATAACTCTTGGGAGTACCTAGGAGGTCCTTTTTATGTCAAGGCTATCTCCTATCTTCCTTAATGCATTTCCATTTAAAAACATATTTTAATGTCAATTGCAGTAAGAATGTAAGAGTTTAGATCTTGGATGACTCTTCCATTAATATCCTTCCCCTTAGAAAGTTATGATAGGTTGAGAAGAGTGGGAATAAAGTTGTGACCTTAGATTCTCAAGGGGAACTGGGGTTCAGAATGACTCAGTTTCCCTTCTTTAATATAGAGAGCTAAGTCACCTTTCCCTAAAAAGTAAAAAGAAACTAGAGAGGAGATTAGTATCTGATGCTTACTAAATACAGTGGACTTACAAGTTCCTACTAAGCTATTTCTCCAGAAAACTGGGAAAGGAAGAAAGGGCCTATTTCTCTGTCACAGTCTCATGTTGAACTATTGTTGTTGTTATCTTTGATAATTATACTGAATGCCACAGAGGCACTCATCTGTTCTTATTCTTAAACAGATGCTAGCAGTCTCTCACAAACTCAGAATGTGTAATTAGTTCAGTTTTTTGAGATCAAAGATAGGAAACCCATCTCCAGATGTTTCTGAGGAAGTAGCCACAGTCACTGAGACACAGAGGAGCTGTGGAGATTTGAAGGATGAAAAACACTCTTTGTCAAGCAGATGCTATAAAGATGAGCAGGAAATAATATTTTATATTAACAAATAGTACAAGTTTTAAACCCAAGTATCAGGAACAAATCAATCAAAAATAGTGTTGTTGCAATATGAGTCTGAGAATGATTTAAATTGTACTAGATTTACCTTTATTATAACTTTTAAAATGCAAGACTGTTATTAACCCTAAAGCTTTTATTTTGCAGATATTCAGGAGCAGCATGCGGTCTGGCCTTTGTATTCATATATCCATCTCTCATCTATATGATTTCCCTCCACCGGGAAGAACGTCTGACATGGCCTAAATTAATCTTTCACATTTTCATCATCATTTTGGGCCTCGCTAACCTGATTGCTCAGTTTTTTGTGTGAAAACTTTTCTCAAGATCTTTCATGGTATTTTGAGCCTTGAAAATACTCCTTCATAAACTCAATTGTAAATCCTGATGTTGCTGTAATTCTAAATGTTTTTCTAAGATAATTTGAAAGCACAAGAAATAGCAGGCCATTGTTAAGTATTTTTTTATAAGAATGGGCAAAAGGGCAATAAGAATGATCTTAATCTCTACCTTTCTTATCTTCACTCACTTCTTTGTTCTCACTTGTCTTTTCTGTGTAGAAATGTGGGAAGAATCATGATGGGCTTTGCTGTTAGAAACAAGGTAGGTAGATTTATTTTGACTACAGTAAAGATTCTCGCCAGGGATATGGCACAGCACCTGCCTGGCAAGCCCAAGGTCCTGAGTTCAATTCCCAGTAGCAAAAAAATAAATAAATAAAAATAAGGCTTCTCAGGGTGTCGCGGCAGCTTACTGCTAGATCGGATTTCTGTTTTATGTTTCAGTGTACCTCTGTTTTTTTACTTACCTACAGTTTGCCTAAGCCTTTACTGTTTGTGGACAGTAAACCAAATACCTCACTTTTAGTTTTCAAGGCATCAGTGTTAATAGAATGAATTCGTAACTGGTCTTTAATCTGTTTGAAGAACAAAACTTAAAAATAGTATCAGTATGAGCTTTATGATCAGAAATGTATGCAAAATAAAGTACGAGGGTTTGTTGCTGTCTGACTCCTCTTTTATTTCTAGTCTGTTTCCATTAACTTAGGTTAAAGTCATAGTTCCCCACCCCAGAGTTTGCATAGGAACAAGAGTGATTGTCCCCATAGACCCAGGGACTCCTTGGCTTTTCAGCCTTGTGTATGGCATAGGCTCTCATGAGAGGGACCGTGGAGAAAGCATGGGCAGAGAGGACCAGCGGAGGTCCTGATAGGGAGAAAAGGAGTGGAGAAGAGGCCAGCAACGGTGACATGCCCAGTGTATTTTGAATCCTCTGGGCATGAGAGAGGTTTATTTGCCAGAGGAAAGATTTATTTTGTTTGTGTATGATCTCTGTAGAAGGAAATCTTTGCTTCTGTAACTTGTAGGGCAGAGTTCAATCTCCATAAGAAAAACTTAGATTGGCAAAAAAAAATAAGGGAATCCGAATTCTTAGAACTAATGCTCTTCTGCTTTTTGTCCCAAACTAAAAGCTAAACCAGAATCCAAATGCATGTAACACAACCTCTGTGTTCTGCACAGGGCTACCAACTGCCAACATGTAGAGTTCTCTAATTTTAAAGTTCAAACGTGTACTATGTTGATACAGATTCCTTATCTTAGGACAGTGGGTAGATTTGTATATTTTCTTTTCTTTGACAAAGATGAGTGATATGGTTCCTATAAATCTAGTAAAGAGAGCCAGATTTAAATTTGGGCCTTACTGTCTTTCAGTTTTATTGTTGTTTGTGTGTGTGTGTGTGTGTGTGTGTGTGTGTGTGTGTGTGTGTGTGTGTGTTTGAGAAAGGGTCTTGCTGTGTAGTCCAGGCTGGCTTCGAACTCACTATGTAACCCAGGCTGGCCTCAAACTCACAGGGATCCTCCTACGTCTTCCTCCAGAGTGCTAGGATTATTGGCATGTGCTAGCATGCCCAGCTGGGCCTTACTGTCTTTCACCAAAGCTTTCCATCCTGTTCCTAGACCTGTAAGTCTACATTAATGATGAGCATACGTCCTATTTATTTATTTATGTGTGTGTGTATGTGAGTGAGTGAGACAGAGAGACAGAGAGAGAGAACTGGAAATCGAACTGCTGCGGACCTCACGCTTGCCAGGCAGGCGCTGCACCACTGAACTATATCCCTGGCCCCTAGGCTATAATTACTAAAGCTCTTTTTGTTCCATTTCATTTTTAAGACTTTTCATTAGAACACCTTTGCAGTACCGAGTGATCACATTTACTCTGGAGAGTTTGCATGTAAACTGTTTAATTCTCTTCATCCCCTCCCCCTCTATCCCTCCGGCATCCTCCAAATCTTGTTCCCCTTCCCATCTGCAAAAGCTCTATTTCCATTTTTTCTTCATTTTTCTTTTTTAGCCTTTTTCCCTTCTTGCCTTCCTCTCTTCCCTCCATCTCTTATTCCCCTTCCCATTTGAAAGAGATCGCCCTACTTCCTATTATCTATTTTTTATTTTGCTCTTTATTTATATTTGGGGTTTCTCATAAGAGAAACCATGTGATATTTAAACATGTGATCTGGTATTTCTCATTTCACATTATAATCTCAAGGTGCATCCATTTTCCTACAGATGACTCGAGTTTATCTTGATGGCAGGACAGTACTCCACTGTGTGTAAATACCGCATTTTCTTTGTCCATTCATCTGTTGATGAGTATATAGGCTGTTTCCAAGATTTAGCTATTGTAAATTGTGCTGCTATAAACATGGGTGTGCATGTATCACTGCAGTATGGCTTTTAACTGTTTGGGGAAGGTAGCTAAGTCAAATGGAATTTCTATTTTTAATTTTTTTGAGGAATCTCTATACTGATTTCCTTAATAGTTGTACTAGCTTACATGCCCACCAACAGTGTAAAGCAGTTCTTTCCCCACCCCTGCAGCCCCACCAGCATTTGTTATTGGTTGACTTCTTGATGATAGCCATTCTTTCTGGAGTGAGATGGAATCTCAGTATTGTTTCAGTTTGCATTTCTCAAATGGCCAGTGATGCTGAATATTTTTTCATCTCTTTATTGGCCGTTTGAATATTCATTTCATTGCCCATTTTCTGATTGGGTCTTTTATTTGGAGGGTGTTACTTTTTTTGAATTCTATATATATTCTAGATGTTAGCCCTCTGTCGGGGAATTCCTAAAGCTCTTTTTTAAAAAAAAAAAAAATCCCATTATGGAAATTCTCAAGCACAAACAAAAATAGAGAGGATAATATGGCAAACTCCCATGCACTCATCCTCTACATTTAATAATTATGAAGCTGTCCTACAATTGTTTCACCCATCCTTTTTTCTTTCTTTCTTTCTTTCCTGAAGTATTTTAAAGCCAGTCTCAGACAAACCTTAGCAGCTATTACTGGATGAACTTTAGGTACCTTTATTATGGAGATGGTCACACAAATTCTTCCTAACAGAAACTGCTGGTAGAAGTTAATTGAATGAATGAATGAATGAATAAGACAAGGAAAGAGAAGGAGGGAGAGAGGGAAAAAAGAGAAAGTTAGGTTAACTGGAAAATTCTATATTGGATGTCTGATCCCTGTGTTAACCTCTCTTGAGAGGGGGAAGTATCTCTGTGCTTGAGAGTCTCTGGAACTTTATGATTTCAGAGTCTTGTTGACTTAAGACATACAGGATTCACAGCTAGATTCTTTGAGAGATCTTCTAGGCTTGCTGGGGATATAGTTCAGCGGCACAGCACCTGACTGGCAAGCGCAAGGTCCTGAGTTCAATTCCTGATACCAAAAAAAATGGAGATCTTCTAGGCGTAATCCCTGTTTTTCTTTCATTTGGTTGGATTCTGTAGTTGTTGTTTTTGCTATTTAGAGACAGTTTTCATTGCCTTTTTTCGTTGATGAATTGAATGCTTCAGTGCATGCAAAAAATTTGAGGTATTTTGCTCATTTAACAAAGGATATATGAAAATGAGTGTATTATTCTCTAAAAACAGTGTGGATCTCCACTTTTTTTCTTTTAAAGACTTGGTGCAGAGCTTCTAAAATCCTGTTAGATGTCTCTACCATTATTTCTTTGAACTTTGTAATTAAATTTCTGTTACATTTTGTTCTGATGTGGTTAACTTTAATTGCTTTAAATTTAACTTAACACACAACTGAGGACATTATAAAATTTAAAATGGGTTGTTTAGAAAGGTTTTCCTTAGAAAAGCTGTGGATTAATAAGTAGTATACCAATACTAAACTAGACAGGACAAAGAAAATGTAAAAAAGTTTGAGACCGGTTGATGATCATCCAAAATCAATTACATCAACACACTCAAAAAGTACATTGGGTTACAGAATAAATTTGCCCACAGAAAGGAACTATATTAAAGAGAAATACTTCATTTACATTAAGCATATTTTGAAAGTACTGTGCAGTTACTAACTGTAATAGCAGAGGAGTTTTCACTTGCTACTTGGTGTTCATTAGGAGAAATTTTTGTTTTGATTTATCCATGTTTCTAAATAAATGAATAAATTGCAGTGCTCATTGCTTTGGAGGAGACAAAGATGTATAAGACATCATTCATTACTAAAGTAACTTTCAATCTGGTAGAGAAAGTATGCACACAATTAACAGTATGACGCTTTATGCTAAGGACTATTAGAGAAACAGATCCCTGTCAGTTGGAGTCCTGAAAGAGAACTGGTAAAGGATGCTGAATTGTAAAGCAGCAAGGACCCATTTTCAGGCAATGCCTAGTAGCTGTCCAAAATTTAAATCTTTGGTATATTTGCCAGTAGGTGGAATTATGCATGTTAGGCATGTTTTGGTGGTAAGAGAGAGTGCTGAGCTACCTCCCTGCCCTTTTTTTTTTCTTTTTCTTTTTTTTAGACAAGGTCTCAGTGTATACTCTAGGGTGGCCATGAATTCACTATGTACCCAAGAATGGCCTTGAACTCATGGTGAGCCTTCTACCTCAGCCTCCCAAGTGCTGGGATTATAGGCCTGCGCCACCACGTTCAGTTCCTTCTTTTTTTTTTTTTTTTTTTTTTTGAGATAGAATTTTGATAAATTATAAGCCTCCTAAGTAACTAGTATTCCAGTCATGTGCTATTATACCTGCCAAGGGCTTTTATTTGGATAAATATCTTCTAAGACAAGTATTAAGAGATGTGCTTATAACTACTGCTGCTGCTTCTACTTCTTCCTCCTTTTTTTTTAGTACTGGGGATTGAACCCAGGGGGGCACTCTATCACTCTATCCAGCCCTTTTAATTCTTCTTGAGACAGATTCTTCCTAAGCCACCAGCTTGGTCTCAAACTTGCCATAATCCTCCTTAGTAGCTGGGTTACATACATGCACCACCACACCCAGTTAACTTGTTTTATGCTATTATTCTCTTTGCATTTCTAGCACAGTGTATAACTCACTT